TTGCATGCCAAACACTTGTAATAGTTGAAAGTTTGCCACAAATGAAACAGCACTCACTTTAACTGCAATGATATTCTTCACATGGAACCACTTACAAATTTACAATTGTGCAAATAACCTAAAAGTGCACTCAATAATTTAGCAACCAACATGCACTCCTAACTATTAATTTATTCCATGATCAAAACTGTCTGATAGGTGGTTAAAGAGATCAAATAAGCAGTATTCCGGTGACGACTGACCTGCTCCATGTAGAATAAAATGACTTTGTAGGCTACAATATAACAGCATTCTTCATATAATGTGAATGTACACAATTGAAAACATAATACAAAAAAAAATGCAATCACAAAAACTTGCACTAAAACTGTAGTTTAAAACAATCACTTCCTCAGTATAATCTAATTCCATGACTGCCCTGTTTCTCATCTACTGAACCACTCAACAGACTGAGGTTTAAACTTGGAAAGATAATATCAACGAAAGCTTTGGCTTGATGGACTGTGCGTGTGGCACTCTGCCAACAATAGTCTGTAAATGCTTAAAAATGCACCCGAGGACAGTCTTCGTGCGTCATCACTTCCTACCCTCCTACTGCCTCTGCCGCAGCAGCCAATCCCATTTCAACTGCCAACGAGTATTGACATCAGACACATCACTAAAAACTACTCACCCACACTATCTCTTTTATAGCCAGAGTGCAGAGTTCAACAATGACCCGTTTGGCCCCCCAGCATGTATTTAAAACAGCTTTATTTGAAGAAAGCCATTGTTTTCACTCACACAGATAATGCAACCATATTTTATTTCAGTTGTTATAGAAACAGTTTCAGGTGCTATCCTTAATAGTAGATGCTAAAATGAGAATCTATATCTTATCTAGTATTAGAAACGGAGATTATATGTGTGCTACGGTTAGGAGCAAATGATGGTCAGTTCCTGATTACGTCAGTGCTGCATGCTAACCATTATTCCAACATCTCTATGTATAAAATAGATCTAACAGGCATTGCATGGTCAAGAAAATAGATTAAATACAAGACAAACATGAAAATTGACATTCTACCTCCTGATTCCATTTTACAAAATGCAGCATCTGCAAAATGTAAGCAGATGTTGAATGAAAACATCTTAAAGACTATAAACAGTTATTACTTTTTATTCAACCTGTACACTTTCAATGGAATAAATCACAACATATGCAAATGAAAATGGCAGAATGTATGCAAATTAGCTTATACCACACAAAACATTTTGGGAAATGATTGCAAACAATGTATGAGCCAGCTTTGAGAAAAAGACCAGGGAGACAAATATGCTGAAGAAAGAAAGACCTCAGCTGCCCGTTTTTTTTTTTTAAATCACAAAATGATCCTATATTATTATCACCCAGCTCTTTATATGAAGTTGGATATATAAGTATGTCCAACTTTATCCGCATACATACAGTTTACTCAAGTCCAATATATGCTTTTTTGACTTTTTTGACAGTTTATTGTATGTCAATGCTCATGCAAGTTTATGTGCTAGATACGGCAGATAAAGGTATTTGGAGCACCTCTTGTAGGAGTAGGTCAGTTTTAATAGCCTGTAAACAACCCCCTCCCCACCTCCGCATATCTGACTTCAAGCTCAACTACCCGGCATATGCTGCAACAAAAGTGGACAACTGCCAACTTCAGGCTATATTTACCCTTTTAAAATCAATTTAAAAGCAAAGCACAGCCAGAAATAACAATTCAGTCATCCACGTTGTTCCAAACCCATATTGCATTTTTGCTTTTGTGGAATGCAAAAGGAGAGTTAAGCAGAAGGATATTTTCAGTCACCATTCACTTTCATTGTATGGCAAAAAGATCCAATGAAAGTGAATGGTGACTAAGACTGTCATTCTGCCTAACATTTCCTGAAGAAATAAAAATAGGTTTCCTTTATTCTTAGTAAAAATTATCACATAGCAGTGAATTCGATTTAAATTTGATGTATTAACGCAAACTAAAACATGCAATAAGTGCTTCATTCATTGTCTCATAAGTTTGAACTATGCATCAGAGGCATGCGTTACAGAAAGACATTATCTAACATACATGACTCTACTCGTGACAATTATATATACAGCCTGCAATGACGTATAACGACCACATCCAGACCTATACAGCAGATGAGGTTGAGATTCATTCATTTTTGCGAGGGAAATGTGTGGCAAGCTATTTAAACATTTATTCTTTTATTAACAGTCTCGACTTTTATGTTATTATTAGTTGTTTTTTATTATTAATATTACATTACAATTACATTTTAACTATTAAATGGTACTGCCACTTATTCATTAGAAACGATTACTTATTGCTTATATAACCATACAAATATTACAGTTAGTAGAATATTTACTAGCATATATTCCAGTCATCCTATAACAAACTGAATAATAACACTTATTTATTGAACTATAGAATATATTCCAGTTGTTACTAAGAACATTTTTAAATAAGTGTCTAACTGAATCCATACTAATTAGTATTCAAAGTGCTAGTAATGAATAGCTGTTAGTGAAACTGAAAAGGCTATTAGTTAGTATTTAATTTATTACTAGACATGTAAAAATAAATACAAGTAACGAAAAAAATAGCAGTTTTAAGAAATAAATGTTAAATTGGCTTGCCATGACAATGAGGCTAGTAGGCTGGCTCATAACTAGGAGTTCTTGCCTCATACCTTTAGCAAAATATGTTGCAGTCTCAGTAAATAGGGTGCATTTAAATTTTACAAGTTATATGGCTGTTTTTTGTTGAGGTAAACAAGGAGGACAAAACTGTAGTGATATATAGGGCTTTGCTCTGGAGCACTGACCGGAGATGACCTAATCTCTGACACAGTTATGCAACGCCAAAGTTTAATACATATAAAATTATGAGGTTCCATTTGTGTCAAAAATGAGTCGACTGCTTTGTGCTTATTGTCGTTTTGTTCTGTCATCTTGCTCTGTCGTCCTAACTGTCATCTTATTCTGTCGTCCTAACTGTCATCTTATTCTGTCGTCCTAACTGTCTGTAGTATGTTCCTAGATACAAGACTGACTTACTACGTGTGAGATTTTGTCAATACCTCCCGTCATATATGTACAGTACACAATTATTTTCATAAAAATTACTGTAGTATAACCTTTGGAACATGAAACAAAACAAAAAAACCTATTGGTAAATTACTAGTGGGCAAAACTGACTAAATATAAGACAACCTTTGGAACATGATAAAACCCTCTTGGTGAATAACTGTAGGTTTAAAAAATAATAATATTTGTGTACTGTACATACAGTAAGGGAGGTATTAGCAAAATCTCACTTGTAGTAAGTCAGTCTTTTAACTAAGAGTGTACTACAACCTTTGGAACATAAACAAACCCTTTTGATAAATTACAGTAATCTTTTTCTAAAAATATGTGTACTGCACATACAGTAAAGGAGATATTGGCAAAATATCACCTGTAGTAAACTAGTCTCATAACTAGGATGTTCTACAACCTTTGCAACATAAAAAAAACTACTGATAAATTACTATATTTTTTCCTAAAAATATTTGTGTACTGTACATACAGCAAAGGAGGTATGAGCAAAATTTCACAAATCATAAGTCAGTCTTGTAACTGCAAATGTACTACAACCTACAAAAAAAACTGTGCGTACAGTAAATTTCATGAAAATAATTGTGTACTGTACATAGGCCTATATGACGAGAAATACTGCCAAAATCTCACATGTCAGTATCTAGGAACATACTACAACCTTTGGAACATGAAAAAAACCTATTGGTAAATTACTGTAATTTTTTCATAAAAAATGTTGAGCACTGTACATACAGTAAGGGAGATACTGGCAAACTCATAAGTTTTGTAACTAGGTACATACTACAACCTTTGGAACATAAAAAAGCCTTTTTTGGTGAATTACAGTCGTTTTTTTCTAAACATTAATTTGAATGAATTATTGTACTTCGTTTTGTACTGTGAGGTGAATTTGCAGACGGTTCCTAAAGCAGCCTAGTCGAATATGAAATGTGAAACTAACTTTACAGCGCTGATGAAGGTTATGATGACAGATCAAGACGACATTAAGCATGACAGAATAAGATGACAGTTAGGACGACAGAAAAGACGACAGTTAGGACGACAGAATAAGACGACAGTTAGGACGACAGTAAAGACGACAGTTAGGACGACATTTAGGATGACAGAATAAGATGACAGTTAGGACGACAGGTTAAGATGAGAGTTAGGACGACAGAATAAGATGACAGTTAGGACGACAGAATAAGATGACAGTTAGGACGACAGAACAGGACGACAGAACAGGACGACAGAACAGGACGACAGTTAGGACGACAGAACAGGATGACAGTTAGGACGACAGAACAAGATGACAGTTAGGACGACAGAACAGGACGACAGTTAGGACGACAGAACAGGATGACAGTTAGGACGACAGAACAAGATGACAGTTAGGACGACAGAACAAGATGACAGTTAGGACGACAGTTAGGACGACAGAACAAGATGACAGTTAGGACGACAGAACAGGACGACAGTTAGGACGACAGAACAAGATGACAGAACAAAACGACAATAAGGACGACAGTAATTAAACGACAGAGAAAAAGCAAGCAGTACGACAGATTACGATGACGTCAACAGACAACATACACGCCTACATATACTGATTTACCTGAACAAGTAGGCAATGACTGTAGACAAAGACAAATGTATAGTACAAAGCACAAAGCAGTCGACTAATTTTTGACACAAATGGAACCTCATATAAAATATCAGTCTTTGACACATATTTGACCGAGTAGATGTGTTTAACCTATGTGACCGTGCATCTATATAAACATCACTTTGTGTTCACGACACAAACTTGTTTATGAACACTGGTCACATTGCAGTCAATGGAAAGTGTTATACAACAGCTCAACCTCCGGCTCTTTAAAAAACGAATGTATCCTACCTGACAACTTTCGTACAGGATGGACGTCTCAAAGCAGGTCTCAGTCCTGTCCGGCCAAAAGTCCGGCTAAATGAAATGATATATTCCTGAAATTCTAGTCAAGCCTCAGCGTCAGTTTGACACACTTCAGCGCTGAACGCTCTCTCACATCGCTGCCCTGGATCTCCCGAGCTCGCAGCATGACCTGAATTCAAACTCCTCCCACCGAACGCTCCCATTGGTCAAACCCCACTAATTTGCATGCGGCAAATGCGGAAATATCAGAAGCGCGCTGTGATTGGCCGAAAGGACCGCCAGTCTCTTTACATAAGTATGTCATACGTCTCACGTGGACATCCATGGTCAGTGACGGCGTGCGCTGCGTATGGGCAAATCAGTAGTGAGAGAAAGCTGGTGAATGGGACGCTGACGAGGGAAGAGAGTGTGGTTGGTCCGGGGAAGCCGAGTACGCCGAAGTGTTATACAAACGGTTATACAAGTGTGTGTACAGTCAATGTGGTCTCGCCCTGTTTGCGCGAAATACGGCATGTGATTCTATTAGAATAGCTTGGGTGGACGTGCGTGATTGCTCGGAATCATCCAGTAGGTACATTAGGGATTGTTTATTTGCAGTGAAGTTGCATTACGTTAGAGTAATGTATGTACATTTATAATATATATTTATAACGATTAGTAACAATTTCCTATTCACTTCAGGCACATTTGGCATTTCATAACAGAACATCTCACATAACATATACATAACATCTCATACAGATGCTATTGCACAACATCTCATGTATTTTATAAACATTTTTCTGCTTTTAATAATCAAACTGCATGTTTTGGAGCTGCAGTGTCAGCACAGGCATATTTTACAGTCACTTTGCCTATCCTATTTCCAGATTTTATCCTTGTAGCTTATAGCCTATATATAAGGCTGTTTCAGAAAGCACTTTGGATAAGTTTAATAGTGCACACAATAATAAACCAGTATGAGTGGGAAACACTCTTTCTCTGCTTGGACTCTCCCCATCACCATCTGTTAGAAGATGCATCATACTGTCTTTTGCCAATATTATAATGGTGTTTTCTTTTTTCTGCATGCATCTATTTTTACTTCAAGAAAGTACACAGGCAATGTTCTGGTTTGACCTGCTAAAACAGCCATTTGCTTGATGATTAAACGTTTTATTCTCTAGCGAATTGTGCTGATTGTGATTGCCACGATAATGATTTTGAATCATTTGCGTTTGTATAGCTCGTTATATTAGTACCATCTACCTTTTAAGCAATATCACATGAGCAAGAGTGCTGTTGTAGCTACTGAGTATGGCACAAGGCTGCAAGAAATCAGTGAGGACAATGCAACAGTTCACATTTTAATACCTTAGGTCAGGGGTGTCCAACCCTGCTCCTGGAGGGCTACCATCCTGCAGTTTTCAGCTCTAACCCCAATCAAACACACCTGAACCAGCTAATCAAGGTGTTCAGGGTTGCTTGATAATTACAGACAGGTGTGCTGGAGCAGGGTTGGAACTAAAGTCTGCAGGACGGTAGCTCTCCAGGAGAGCAGGGTTGGACACCCCTGCCTTAGGTGATCAAGTTTAATAAAGAAAATTCTCAAAAAAGATGGATGAGATGATTTATATGATCTCTTTTTCACTTCCCTTCTCTCATACACACAGAGCTCTTTAAAAAAACATCTCAATAACACCAGATGGCCCAGATGGCATGTATCTCTTCCACTATGGATCCACAAGACTGCATATCAAATCATTCATCATACCAGACCATTTCAAAAGAACTTTCACAGATACAGAAACACTTTCTTTCTGTCTGTCACTCTTGTTTCTGAGAATATTAAGCAAAAACATAGCCATTATAAATCCTCAGTTGCTCTCTGCTATACACAAGGCAGGTATTTTATTATACAGGCAAATACATATGAATAATTAACAGCTGATCATTAGTGTGATGTCTACATACTGCCAGTAGTTTCTGAGCTCTAATGAACCCTGAAAATCCAAAGACCATTGTATTAATATTTTAACGGATTTGATCCAGTTAGCACAAGAGAACATTGTGTTCTCCGGTGAAATTAAATATGAAATTCAAATATTGAAAAATTAAATGTGTGATTCTACAATGAGGCCTAATAGCGAGTACACAAATGGATTACATGACAGAATCAGAGACAGGAAAAAATGGGCTGAATGAGGATGCAAACAAAAAAACACACACTGAATGTTCAAACGATTTAATAGGGATACGTGGGTGTTTGTTGTCCCGCCGGAAGCACTTTATGCCTGAAAAAGCTATGAGTCAGTGAATTGAGTACATGGGACCCTCTCTAATAGTTCCACTTTTATCAGATACTCATCAGATAAAGGCTGTTTATGCTGTGTTTGAGTGTGTTTGTCATTGGTTCTTTTGGGTTTTGTGAAATGCTGTGAAAGTGACGCACGTAAAATATAACCGAAGGCCAAAACAATCCCATAACAAGGCTATCGAATGACGCATTATTGGAGTGATTTCCAGCAAAAGTGCGCTTATTGTTTTATTATGGGGTACTTTTTAATTTTTTTGCAGTGAATGACATTTCAGCGTTACGTTCAGACCAAGAACTATAACTAATGATCACAATGAAGTTGAAGTTTTAAAAATCGTTCTAATCGTATGAGAATAGAATGTTCACATCACAACTGTAACAATAACGTCACAGAGGAACAATATAGTTGGAATCACTTTCAGAATGATTTCTTTTCCAACTTATGAAAAGCATGACAGAACTGCACATGCATTTGTAAAACATTATCCGTTGGTGTGGACACTAATATAGCTATTGCTATAGATACCTTTATAGTTATCGTTTTTGGTGTGAACCGGCCTTTTTATGGTACCTTTTCAAAAGATATACGCACCCTTTATGGCTAAATAAGATACAAAGGTGTACCTTTTGAAAAGGTATCGCTCCAGTAACAGCTTTTGTACCTTTCTTTCTGAGAGTGTATGGAAAATCTAAGAGACCAAAATTTGGTTGAATTCATTCAGCAGGCCTATTGAAAAGTATAAAATAGGTCAATTACACTAAAAATGGACCATAAGCATAAAAATGCTTTCACAAATATTATTACACATATAGTAATGCAACATTATCAAAATAATCTAAAACCAAACTGATTCAGAGTCAAGGCTTTTTACTGCCTGACAGTTTATTCAAATGCTCATAATGATTCAAACACATTCTGGATGTAAAACAAACAGTCTGTGTGTCCTTTACAATTTTATAGCCTATTAAATTGTACATTAAATGTGAATTATTCCACTTTGATGTCCTACTTTGTACTCAAACTCAATAACTTGTCTCTCTTTCATAAACAAGTGAAAAGGTTAGCTGCTTGCTATATTTGTAATGTCATCTGTTTGGCCTAATTTGATCAAAATGTAAACTGCAATACTGAGTTCCATTCTCATGACATAAACTCTGCCATGACCTCTCATCTCTTCCTCATGAAATAATAACACTAAATAATTTTTTACAAGATTTTACATTTTACAAGATCAGAAATCAGGTGAGATAAGACATGCTTCTTTTGTCTGTCTGCTGTAAATAGATGGATGGAAATAACTGTGAAGTTTATTAAAAACTAACAATACCTACCCTACCTATTTCATGTACTACAGAGCTTCCAATTACTTTGGCCTTAAAGGGTTAGTTCACCCATAAATTACTCACCCTCAAGTCATCCTAGGTGTATATGACTTTCTTCTTTCAGACGAATCCAGTCGGAGTTATATTAAAAGTTGTCTTTGATCTTTCAAGCTGTTTAATGCCACTCAGCGGGTGTTGCATGCATCCGTCCAAAAGCAGTTAAATAAAATGCGCCCATCCATAAAAAAAAAAGTGTCTCACACGGCTCCGGGGGGTGAACAAATGCCTTCTGTAGCGAATCGATACGTTTTTGTAAGAAAAATATCCATATTCAAAACGTAATAATCACTTTAATGTAGCTTGCGCTCACTGTTGTACACTGGAAGCAAGTACGGGCGGATGACGTATGAGTTCAGTGACGAACTCAGAAGCGCAGTGGAGAGATCAAAACAAAACAATGGTCACTAATTAGAAGTACAAAACGAGGATTTGTAAAGAAGAATGTCGGAGGATTTCGATTTAAGCCAAGAGGAGACTGGATTTTTTTCTTTGCTAAATTAAGGAAACTTTGCTTCCTTTGCTCCTGTTAACAAACGTTGGTTTTCACGAGACTCACCGGCGCATGCGCAGCACTGACCTCATACCTCATCCGCCTGCTTCCAGTGTACAACAGTGAGCGCAAGCTACATTAAAGTGATTATTACGTTTTGAATATGGATATTTTTCTTACAAAAACGCATCAATTCGTTACAGAAGGCCTTTGTTCACCCCCCGGAGTCGTGTGAGACACTTTTTTTTATGGATGGGCGCATTTTATTTAACTGCTTTTGGACTGATGCATGCAACACCCATTGGGTGGCATTAAACAGCTTGAAAGATCAAAGACAATTTTTAATATAACTCCGACTGGATTCGTCTGAAAGAAGAAAGTCATATACACCTAGGATGACTTGAGAGTGAGTAATTTATGGGCTAATTTTCATTTTTGGGTGAACTAACCCTTTAAATACAGAAGCTAATCTCCCATTTAAAAGAACACATTGTTCATTGCATTGTTCATTGAGGAAAGTGAAATTACATCTTAGATTTTTTATTTATTCTCCTGCACTGTATGATGACACTTCAAAAAGCTATTAAACTTATTAAACTTCATTGCAGACTGGGCACATGTTGAAGTCTCCTGTAGAAAGCTCACATTGCTTGGCGTCCTCACCCGAATTTTCCACTGTCTGCTACATTTGTCTGGAAAAGAAAAAGGGAAGTTGTCTTTTGGATCTTGTCCTGAGCATTACATCACCAGCCACATATATAACCCAGCAGCAGACATGAGCCGGACGGAAAAGGTTCTGGCATGGTGCCCGGTGAAAGCGTGCTGTTTTAAACCACTAACTCTTCCCTCAAACTTCCACCCCTCCTCTCTCTTTTCCCTTTACAGTGGAATTCAGTATGGGTTAAGGAGAGAGCAGCGCCTGTGCTGCCATACATGGCCAATTGTGTCGTAAGGGGAAAACTATTTTGTCTGCACATGTGGAGCA